ATTGAAATTTAAAACAAGGAATAGCAAAAGAAAAATTAAATAATAAAAAAATATGTGTCACTGGGTCTCCCACTAACTTAAGATTTGCCAAGTATGTACTCGCCAAGTCCAGTCCAAGTCATTAATTTGCAATTAATAATGTTAACTTTTAGACCTATTATATAGTGCTTGCCCCTTTAAAGTTTATTAACACTTTCCAGACCCCGTTGAAGAATTTCCAACATTTGGGGAAGTGTAAACAAAACTCCAAAATGTTTGGGTTCCAGGGATTCTGCTGACCAACACAAGACAGATATGCCATTATGTGGTGGCGAAATATCCTCAGTGGGATTAGGAGTGTCAAAACTGGCACAAAATGTAAGATAAAGAACAGGCTACAAAAACCGCTACATGGAGTTCATATTTCACAGGCAACTGTAACTGAAAGCAAGGTACGTAAGCACATATATCCCAAAGCAGGTACATGTATTTCTGTCCAGAAGACTATCAATTTTTCCTCTGTATTTGCAATTTTTGTACTTTGCAAGGCCTGCCAGTTAAAAAAATGGAACTGCAAATCTTGGAAAGTACTATGACAGCAAACGACCGTTGAAATCAAGTTGACAGCAAACGACTGTTGAAATCAAGTGCCTACACGTATTCAGGCTAAGCATTCAAAACCTTACAGTGCACTTTGAGTGAAGACTATGTTATTTAGACATTGAAGGTAACCACAATTTGATTTCTTTAGCCAATGACATGAAGAATGATTTGGATTACTCATTTTATTTTCACTAATTTTCACACATTAAAAAAGCACCAATGTGGAGATTGCAGTGTGCAAGCTGAATGAGCAAGAAAGTTTTCCTCGATAATTGTCTCTGGCTAAGTTTCATGACTGGGTACGAACCTTAACATTGAATCTTGGTTATTGCGAATACTACCATTTTTCAGTAGCAATTTGTTCTAAATGTAATGAGGCTCAATACACAAACCGACTTACTTGAAAAAAGATCATTATAATATATTCACAGAATCTAATAAACCAAAGTCAACATGAGATAAAGGAAAACAGCAGCTTATCAGGGCACAAACTGATACAAACAAAGTGGAAATCACTATTAAATGTCATGAGGCTAAATACACAAACTGACTTACTTGAACTTAATGGTCATTATAATTCACAGAATCCAATAAACCAAAGTAAACACAAGATAAAGTAAAACTGCCGCTTATCACCGCACAAATTGATACAAACAAGTAGAAATCAAACACTACCAATCCACAAAATACCTTGATCTTTGTGTTCAATTGTATTCCACAGCGGATGCGGTGCTGTTTAAGTATGGGGTCAAGTGTCTGAGAACTTAACCACAGGGCCTGGGCCCAGGGTTCTTTGAACTGTGCTCAAATGTCTTCTCAGAAAAAAACAACACAGACTGTGAGGTATACATGATTTAAACATGTTTTGCAAAGACATTTCTGGTATAAGGGGCATCTGGTGTTGTGGGGCAGGGGTGTGGCTTATAATGGCGGACCAATCAGAATACTCCAAAATGGTTATTGGCCAACCGAGTCTGTGTCCCAGGTCACATGACACATCACCCTTCTGTGGTACACCATGTAGGATTGGTGATTCTTACCTTAGGCTTAAGTTTTACTGCCAATTGCCATTTGTTTCCTTGACAAGTTGACAGGAATTTGATGGATTGAACATCATACACAGTGTGCACCGAAGACTGTTACATGTACAATGTACTTTTAAACCTCAAGTTTGTCAGGCAAAATTGTCAAATCACTTTTTTCCTAAGCTACTGCAATTTTGTCCTAGTTCTGTTGCAAATAACAATATGAATTGTATTTCTACCGGAACATAGCAGTCAAATTTGAACTTGTTAAGACTTTTGTTCAACTTAACACACCTGCCAAAGTTCTCATAACTTTCCAAGATAAAACGGCATATGCACACACTCACAGCCCTTCAAAATATTTGCTTACTTGCTCCCATTTATGACTTAATGCACTGACAACATCTCTCTTCTGTTGTGTGTGCCTACAACCATTCTGAGTTTTGTAATTCAGTCAAATATTGGCACAGGCTTGTGAGCTTGTAAACAGGTCTTAAAGGCTTTCAAAGCCCAGTAAGGCCGTTTAACAAGCAGATATCAGATGCCCTCCCCCCTCCCATCAACTCTGTTCACAACTTATTTGCTTTAAGGGTTTACTCCACATAACGTCTTTTCATAAATCGTTCATAATTGATTATCTGGCATTGTTAATGAAAAAGGGGAAAGATTGTAAATGTGTCAGTGTTTGTTTTCCTAAAAACTCTTTCCTCCATGATGTGAAGTATAAAAAGTACAACAGAAGACTTGAAATTATTCTTGAACCAAATCAAGTTTTCCACAATCGTGATGCAAATTCCAGGGTTTTATAGTGTTCACTTTTCAACGACATAAAATTACCAGTAAAAAAATAAAGTTTATGCCCTAGACTTAGATAAGGCAAAGCCAAATTTAATTGAAAAATCTGTATGCACCACACAGTTAAATCCAGGGACCAGATTTGATAATATGACTAGAGCAAACGGTCAACAAGATTGAGAAAAAGCAAGAAGTTTGCTCCTTGCAGCCTGCCCAGGCCATCTCTAACACCACCCCTGCTGACAGTGCAAGAAAAATCCCTCCAGGTATTTACTCTATAATTTCATAAGAAAAACTGTTACAGAACAGCTCTGTCAACGGCCAAGTCCTTCCCTGGAGCATGGAGGAAGGAATCACAAAAAAGGACCTCAAACCCACCGCGGAGAACATGAAGACCAAATGGTTTCTTCTCAAAAATTATTTCCGTTCGCCGCTTGCGCTTTCCTGGGGCACCCGCGGAGCAATTAAACACACTCTAGACACGTGTTACCACGTCACGAACACATGGTTTCATCATGTGTCCTTTCTCTATGATCAGAACCACCTAATGCCGTTCTTGTTTGGAAGGTAACTGGACACAAATTAGTCCAAGACCAATTTTCTCTTGCAGGTAAACCAATACATCCATCAGTATTTGCTGTGGGACCAATTGCCTCAATTTAAACAGCTTTTTATGAAGTCGATGATGGATTGATCAGTGTGGTTAAAAGTCCGAAGCCCTTGAAGTATACCTGTTATACCGAACTTGCCCACAATTTATGGGTACATTTTGACATGGATTGATGCCCTGTCCCTTTTGAGCCCACCTGGCGGTGGCTTTTTTGTCTGGGAGGGGTACAACACAATTGGGATTTGAGGTATTCGGTCGTCGATTCGTCAACCCACCTGCCAACTCAAATTGACGGTAAAAAAAGAAAAGTGCACAAGTGGTCTTTTTGACAAAACCAGGCCGTGCCGTTGACAACAACTGTCCAAAATCCTGAATAAAACTGCTCCATTTCTCACGGTAATTAGACCCATGTTAGACCCAAAATCAAGAACCATTTTTTTTGGCCATGTTACAAGTCGCCACAATGCCCCAAAGTGCACAGACGAAGTTCCCCCGGATCCTCAAAAAAACTCTGTCACGCTGTAGACTTTTGAGGATTACATTTCACGAAAGTAACCACACGCTTGGAAATCTCAGACAAAAAACTTCTTCTCTTTGTGGACTTAGCATTCAAGTTTTATAGGGTTACGAGACAATCGCGATTTTCAGCTTGATTCAACCACCAAATCCAATGAATAAATCCCCAGAGAAAACCAGCAGGCGGCGTTTCAAATACAAAATGTTCAGTCCCTGTACGCTGTACGGCCAGTCCGCCCTAGAAAAGTAGAAATACACCAATGGGCCGGGGTGAAAGAAAGTACGGCGGAACTTGGCAGGACCACACGGTGAGGTCGCGGGGCAGATGCCGAGAATTAATTGGTGAAAAACAAGCCCAGGCTGGTTCATGGTTCGTTTCACGGGGAGAAAAGATTTCCTGTTCCCGGCCCTCCGCTGAAAGACTCGCCATTTTGACAAGAGGGTCGCAGTTCCTTAATTTTCATGGGACCAGCGCAGTGCAACGCAGGCCAACTCGCTCAACACAACTCCGATTTTTGTTTTGCTTTATTTTTTAACTCACGACTCGCCGCGCGGAAACAAAGGTGTTGAAAAAGTCGATCGCGAAACCACACCACGCCGATTTCAAGGGGGTTTCAGAGTTTTGTCTGGGAAGCCTTTGCCAAGCCTAGCCCCAGGGCCTGGAGGTTTTCACGGATTGTTTGGGCCTGAAGTCCGATGTTTCCTCAAGCCGCTTGATTTGATTCTGGTGTTTTTCTTTTTCGGAAAATACCACTGGAACTAAACAAACAAGCTGGCGAGGAAAACGAAAACACCGTAGATAAAATCCTGCAGAAAAATAATGTTTTGCTCCAAGTTGCTCTCTTCCCGTGCACTTCACATGTTCCGATTCTTTTCCCCTAACGAATTTTTAATTTGTATATTTTACTTATGTGAAAAAAGTAGGTTTTTCTATTGAGGACGTTTTCGATATACTTTAATTTGGCTTCCTTTTACGCCCGTGACGCACACAACTACAAATGCCTGAATATTGTCCGGCCTCAAAACAATTCGATATAATGTGATTATTCCATAACTTGACGTTCATGACGTAGGCGGATTTCTATGCAGATGTCTCATTCAAAATTTCAATACCTTTTGTACTGCTATAGAATACAAATGGCAATTTAAAAACAACTTCCACTTTTTGGGATGAACCTCGAAGAAAGCACGTACAGAGCAACTTTAATTATAAAAGCAAACATAGTCATCAGTGGCAGAACCATATTATTAACAACAAATTATTTATGTGTAGCTTCACTGCAAACATTTTCACATTTACAAAAAAAGAAAGTTACATATTTTCAGAGTTATGTATTTAATGCTGCAACTTTCAAGTTATCGCAGAAGAAATTTAAGTATTCTAAAATCCCTAGAAGTAGAACAGTAGAAGTAGATGAACCAATGGGGAAAAAGAACGCCGCCCGAGAAGAAATTATTTCCGGGGATCAACACTTCCTTCATCCACTCCCGGCGATCAGCTGTTTTTCTCGTTGAATAAGCTTTCATCCTTTCGGATTCCGAAGCAATTTTTTTCCATGACGATATCAAAACTCGAACTGCGTCAAACCGAGTTTGTTTGCCCTCGGGGAAGAACAATCCCAACACGCGCCGAACCATTTCAACCAACTAGTCAGCTGAGCCTGGCTATAGCTGAACGAAAATGTGATTATGCCTGCTTACTGGGTGGGAGAAAATGAGAAGAATATTGCCATTTTATGATCTTGTTACTGAACTTACCTTGAGAAAAGGCCACTGGAATTAAACAGTTCAGGAGACAAAAAGCCACGGTTGATGTCAATCGGCGCATTTTCCCGGGGCAGGCTGCCGACGTATGTCCCATGGTTCTGGTTGCAACAGCCCGCTCTGTATGCATTCCTCGTAATTTCATCCTCATTCCATCCACCACTCGCAGTACCAACAAAAGTCCAGGGCTGTTCTCTCCAAATTCCAGGGACGGATGACGACCAGTTTTCCAATCAGGCTAGCCGAAGGACTTTTCTACCGGAGGCGAGCAAGGATCTGGTGCATGGCGTCACAGAAAGCGAGAAAATTGGCAGTTAAAATTCAGGGATGTTTCTGAAAATGAGAATATTATGCGCACAATCCCATCATAGTGAACAGTCCATATACAATGTGTACACAATACGGCGCGCCGTGTGTGTGAATGAATAGAATTGACCGTACTGCGCATGCACACGCGCGAGACACAGTGACATTTTTTAGACTCTTCGATTAAAAGATGGGGGTTTGATGCAATTATGTAAATCAAAACGATTATATCTAAATCGTTTGGTGACATGGAGGATATTAGCGTGTTATACCTACCCCGCTGTTGTATATTTATCTTGCACAATATCTGTAACCTATTGAGGTTTAGGGACTTGTAAATAAACTACTGATTACAATAAACCCCATACAGATAATGGTGTAGTCTTGTAGTTGTTTCAACAATGTTTATTCGCCAGACAGCTAACACGAGATGGCGCGCCGTTTGCACACAAAAAATGAGAGTAAACTATAACGGAATTGTTTGCAATTATTATCAAAATGCGAAATGGAGGATAATCACTGATGTAATCCCACAGACACTTTTTACAGTTGTTAAGACGCCCTGTCGCCAAATTAGACAAGTTTACCGACATTTTAGTCGGCAACACAACAGTACGGTACCACCTGAACTGATAAATTGGGCACAACTGGAATTTTAACACACAAAAAAAAAATGAACAAGAGATAACTATTATGATAAATGTGAAAATAAACGTAATACGAGATAATGATTCGAAAGGAATTCTGGGGGAGCAAAATGACGCGGCAACCCAATATGTTTTCATAATTTTTCCTTTTTAGTAAACAAAATGCCCCTTGTCTACGAAGAGGTTTGCCAAGATCGCTTAGGAGGGGAGATGTTGATAGGTCTTAACTTGAAAATGAAATGCCGTCTGTTTGGGCCCACGGGAAGGTCCTCGCTGCTATTTTTGTGTGTGTTTGTGTAAAAGGGCTAACAGAGGCAGCTGATCCGAGACACCCTGTCCAACTTCCCAACCTATTTGCAAAACCGAATCGCGGAATCGGTACTTTCACAGAGCATAAATTGGCAATGACAACAAACCACCAGTTTATAGATCTGACCCAGAGGTCAAAACGCCGCCATCTTATTTCTGATCAATTTTGAGGGTCTGGATGCACCATAACATCACAAGCTCCATATGATGAGATCGCCTCCAATGTCTCCAGCCGTAAATCTTTCTCCTCCTATTGCGTCTGTGGCCTCCCCGTTTCATTTTTAATGGTAGGTGATAAAAGGCGGTGTTGTCCTGGAATTCCTGAGCAATGACCAAACGTGTCCCGACGGACACCGCTATATAAACACGACCTGGCTGAAACACTTCCGGAATTGTTTCCGAATCCACGCGGCAACTTAATACTTTGCAAAATCATAACAAGATAAGATAAAAACTTCGTATCGACAGCCGTATCAGAGGTTTTATCCGACCGCATTGTGTTTGTGTATTTTAGTTCTTTTTCTTCCCCTTTTGTGTAGGTCCTCTTCTGTTCACGGTACTACCAATATCATCATTACTTCCCTGTAGACACTGAAGCAATTGCAAGAGACCCAATTAATTCATATCAATAAAGAAACCCATTGAAAAAACTTGCCAATTCAAACTTTATGGAATATCATTCAAAAGTTATATAGATCCAATTTCCATACCAACTTATTTCCTGTGAGTTAGATAAAAAATAAAATTCGACGTTGTCCTCATTTTGAGTGGACAGCAGAGTGATGGCCAATGACTTAATAATTATGGTCTTACAAAATGACCAGCTCACCAAAATGTTTACAATGACACAGTTACACCGTAAACAAAATCGTTCACTTTAAAAGTCCTCAATCCCATGTGCTCACGTTGAAATTAAATAGTTGTCTTAATATTTCCTAAATTTCTACAGCTGTTCCATTTGGCTTTGCGAGGGAACAAACTTCAGAGATTTCACGTTCCGATGATGGTGCCGGTGTGTGATTGTCTGTGACGATGGTGTGCATTTCTCGCATAGTTGCACATGTGAATCGTAGTGTTGGAACATACAAAAATGTTAACAAATTTCTTGCAAAAATATGCAGTTTCTTCGAAAGTTTTCAAAATAGTATATTTAAAATTCTTTTCAGGTAATTAAGGGAGCGTATTGTTTTCACGTAGGGCCTAATTCGTTTTAAGTTAAAGTGTCTGGTTCGGAATGGTTTTGTGCAAAGACAATATTCTTTTCTTCGTATCTTCTTTTTTTCGTATAATCTTGTGCATTGTAACATGCATTATAATCGGAGTGTAGTACATGTACTTCCTCTGTTGACATTTTTTTAAGGGGGGGGGGGGGGGGCGAGCAGGTGGTTATTTCCTGTCACCGGGCCTCATACCGGCCCCATTAGGTGCACAGGTCGTTAACCATGGGTGGTAAAGTGCCGCGTGATCGGCGGATGTAGTATCATGAGTATACGTCTGCGAGTATGGTTGACATCCGCTTTACTACAAAAAGAAGGAAAACAGACGATCTTCTTCCTTCGAAACCAATAATGCTTTTAACGGTTTAATGCCGTTCGCGCAAGACTTCATCATAACAAAACAGGGCTAAGTAAAACTGGACCCAGAGCGCAGAAAGTTTATTCCATCAAAACGGCTTTTAAGTCTTTTCATGCACACAAAGCAATGGGTCGGATTTTGAGTCAAAACTTAGCAACGCGATTGTTCCCCTTTTGGAGTTGTTGAAACTACAAGTCTCTACCATAAAACGTTATTTGAAGGTAATCACTCACTCCATTACACATTTCAAAGAATTTTGTGATCAAAACATGCAAATGTTATTAGTAAGAAATACGCATCGACTCCTATTGCACTGTCGTTATCAATGCAATTGTTTGCTTTTGCAGCGTGTGGATCCAGATCGGTAGCATTTGATGTTTCTTGGGTTTTTCCCCAAACCACAACACGTTGCCAATTACGGGTACCTGGTTATCGTCACTAGCCCACAATCAGTGTGTTATTAAGTCACAAGTGACAGTCAATCAGTCGGGGAGTCAGTCAGTCAGTCAGTCAGTCAGAGACAGGTATAGGCCCTGTCCTCACTATAACTGAGGACACTTCATAGGTTAGCCCTCTGGGACCAGTAAAATTGTCAGGTTATCCTTGGGGGGGGGGGGGGGGGAACAGCCTCATAATCGTGTTCGTTATAAAGTTATCTTGATATTTTGCCAGTGAACCCATACCATATGGACAGGGTCCGAAAAAGAAAAAACTACATTGAACAGTTTACTGAGTTTACCAACAGGAATTGCAAACTAACACTTGAATTTGTACATAATAAATGTGGTATATGTTTATTTTATCTTCACCTTCTATGAAAGCGTCAAATCAATGTTTGGTGCCCTTTAGCCTTCATACAAGATCCCAAAGTTACAGAAAACAATGCACTCCGGAAGCAACGTGTGAAAATTTTGAGTTGACAGACACAACACAGGATTCGTACCGAAAGTTTTGACGCGGCCGATGAGACGATTTGGAGTCCTATCATCACAGAATTGTTGGTGTACAAAAGTTGTGTGCTCGAAGTCTATGAAGTAACGAAGACTTTTCCCCGTATGTTGACACTGGCGGGGTGTTCATTTATTCCACCCAACGGGGGCGAATGGATTACATATTTGAGTAATTAGTCCCGCTGTTTTAGAACGTGATTATGGCGCGCAAAAGTGGCAAATTGTTACTGTTTGTGTACTCCTTCCAGACGTTGCGGCCCGCGGTAGTATTGGCTCAATATCATTCGAGGCCACTTTTTATCTTGAGCTGAAATTAGTAACGTACACAACTCGGAAATATTTGAAACAGTGGGGTAACATTACACTCCGACGGCTGAATAAACAAAATATTTCAATGTCATGTAAATACAACGGAAAATGAATTCACAGACTATAATGTCTAGTTGGTCACTAGGACTGTATATAAACTTTGGTTGAAGTTGTTTTTCTCCATTGCATCTGATGAAGTAGTTGTTACTACGAAAGCTTATGCACAAATGTTTCTTTAGTTAGTCATTTAGTGCTACATTCGTTTTTTTAGTTGGTCACTGGCGGACAAAAAAAATTGACAAGGGGTAGTTTGTCTTCAAAACTTCGAGGGCAAAACGGCGATAAGTGGACCACGATTTAAGTCATTCGCCAATATAACCAACGAAGCATTCCTAGTTCTGAAGGCAATTGCTTGTGTTAGTCTTTCTAAGTTCCAAAGTTGCAATGAACTACCTGAAGGTTACTCAGAGAACGGGGAAACAGTATTCGAACTATAGGTTTTTTTTATTCTTAATATTATTGATTTGACACGGACCTCCTTCGTTAATTCGCCGTTCGTACGGAATCGCCAGTATTACTACAATAAAAGCAGCAGCGAGGCAAATCTACGACTGTTTCGTGTGTTGTTTTTACTCGTTCCTTGCCTATGCAACCCCTATTTCAACCCAACCATGCAATTCGCCCATAGAGCGCCCTCGCCGAGGATAGGTAATGTTCCTCTGTGATACGCATAATGATGGTAGATTTTGCATTTTCATTTTCAACAAAACCTGTATGCAGTGAGGGCGCTCTGTGCAAGCTCTCTATTGCTATGGGACCGTGCATAGACCTTATTCACGAGGAAGCCATTTTCGATCGTGTTCCCTGATTCTGTTCTATAAATTGTAAACTGCTGAATGGGATGGCGCCAGACTATTTTATGATTTGAGTGCGTTCCAAGCCTCACTTTTAACTTTTTTTTTTAAATGTGGCTTAAAACAGTGGGATATGTTTAACCAAAAATTTTAATTATTCATCAAGGCAGACTGGTATTACTTGGTAATGAACTTTAATTCAGTGCTTTTATTTCTACTCGAAAGTTCCAAAAATGAGCAGTTTACCTCGCTTCAGGCAATTTAATATGGCCGACTCGTGATTTGAATAATGACTATTGAGGGCCGCCAGAGGATCGCGGTTGCAC